TCGAGTCAACTCGAATCAAGTCGAGTTTAAATCGAGTCGAGTTAAATATTTAACTCGACTCGAATTTGGCTTGACTCACAAATCATCGAGTCAAAAAAAACACCAACTCGACTTGATTTAAACTCGACTCGGCTTATCTGACTCGTGAGTTAACTCGACTCATCCGGAACTCTAGTTCTCTCTGTATTACTTTACATAAATAGCATCCTTGATCTATATTATATCATTGAACTTCTGTTATATTATTGCCTTATAGTAAATCAGCAGTGCACATACTAAGACCTCTAAAAACAAATACTTTTTTACCATTACAATTAGTCATAATTGTTCCATTTTGCAACTTCTACATTTGATAAATAAAAGGTTTAATAAAGTCCTCAATTTTTGCACCAAATGGAACAAGACTAACCAAAAAATGATTTTTGAAATGCTATCGCATCAAAAGTGACATGCTTCCAATTTGTACATATAATCTACCTAGCTTATGATATGCTTTACCAAATGCACCAAAATCATTATAATATAAATCTATAAAGAACTTCAAATGGCAAAGATTAGGTGGATTCTGAAAATTGTATTGATATGGTAATTGATGTTATTGATGTATACGTCTTATTTTTGGTTGATTGTTTTGAGTATACAGAATTTTTCCAATTCGATAATCATAATTCTCAGATTCTATTGAATCCTCAAACCAGATATCAATATGACTAATTATATCATTAATTTGAATTGTTTCTCATTCTTTAGTTAACCAAATAGTGTTATTTCAAGATTATTTAGACAATTAATCAATTTTATATTACCTGAAAGATTCGCGTAATATAAAATCTTTTAAATGTATAATAATTTTTCATTACTATTCTCTTTAAGTATTACAATACCATTGACTTGTCTTAATTATTGATATATGGTTGTTTTCTCTTGAACACAATAGATCACAAAATCTCTGGCTTGATAAAATACTAAAAAAATAATGATAAATATTCTTTGAGTTTAATCACAGCGTTAAATATAAACTATAAATATTACTGTTTTCAATTCTGTATGATGTTTTACTAAACATTGGTGACTCTTTCCATATTTGTCTATACTATAATTCTAACCTTTCTGAAGTCTCAATGCTAAGACTAAAGTATAATTTTAGATAAATAGATGGATTATTAAGAATATGTTAGAGATGATCGAGAATAGAAAAAGTATACCTTTCTTTATGAGAATTATAAGTAGACGAGGTATCCATTGAATTAATTTTGACATTATGGCTATTAAGAATCATCAATAGCAGATTACGTCACATTCATTTTAATGTTGTAATACTGAGAGAGAGATCGGATATTGATGTTGTAAGATTTTTACTAGGTCTTAATATGCGTGAGATCCTGTTGATTTATTGAATAAAATAATTATTAAAAAAAATGTGAATATTCTAAAACAGCACGATTTATTGTTACCTATTATGTATTTTGTATACCAAATAAATATTATCATCACTGTTTTATTAGGAAAGTAAGGTCTAACATCGTCAAGATAAGCAGGTATGTTTTGCGACCTATCATATTAATTGTTGAATTTAAAAAAATCTCATCTTCACTACTATCTGTATTATAATTAGATTCTAATGAATGGTTTTCTTGTTCGCTCTAATTAATAATTTCTCTTATTTATCTTCATTAACACTATCCTCATTTATATATAAATTATCTATAAAAGGTCATGTGTAGCATTTTGTATATTATCAGGTGTTATAATATTATTTCTCTCTTATTGTGAAATCAAATCAAAACTTTATCATTAATAAAGTTAAGTTGAGGTAAAGAAAATTCAATAAAGTTACTTCAAGTATGTGTATTAATATTTGTGTCTAGAGGTTGTTAACCGATTTTTTAAAGGTTAACCTTTTTACCGATTCTTAAATGAATTATTTGCCATAAAATTGTTACTTGAATTGTTTTACGTATATTTTTAATCATATTGAAAAAAAATAAAAATTAGAAATTTTTTTTTAAAAAAAAAAGTTTTACTAACATTTTTTTTGACATAAATGATATTACACAATGATCATATTTACTATATTTGATATTACATGTGATAATCAGTATTTCTATAAAAAAAACTGTTTTGAATTTATAAATATTGTCTTGTATTACGATCTTTACCATTTAAATACAACAAACTTTCTCTTAAAATTATTTCTTATAAATACATTTTTTTTAGGTCTAACAAAAGAAGCAAATGATAAAAAAAAGAAAAGTATTAGCATCCAAGGCAGCTAAATCATGTGTTAATCGAAAAACTATTCAAAAAATTAATATAAAATTCCTGGTAAGTCTTTGAAATGTTTTGATAAAAGATTTAATTCATTAGAAGTAAAACTTATAGTTTCATTTAATAATATTCAAGATAATTAAGTATCATCTAAAAATGTCAATATTCAACAGAATGTTTCTTAAGTATAAGAGATCTCTGATAATGATAGTAATGATGATACAATAATGTCTGAAATTATCAATATTCGACAAGACGATCAACTTAAATCATTATTTTTACCTACTAAGCCTTTTGCAAAAGAGAACTATAACCCTGATAATGATTTGAAACACGATTTTATTTCATCATTAATTACTAATAAAAAGATTAAAAATGATAATAACGATCTAGAACAAATTCTTAGATTATTACTTTCAAAAGGAAGAATTAGTGATCAAAATAAAGATACTATTGATTAAATCAATCAATTATTATCAAACATCTAAGATGAACAATAAACCAATCAATTATTAAACATCTAAAATAAACAATGAACTAATTGATTATTAAATATCTAAGATGAATAATGAACCAATTGATCATTAAATATCTAAGATAAACAACGAACCAATTGATCATTAAACATTTAAGATAAACAACGAACTAATTGATCATTAAACATCCAAGATGAACAATAAACTAATTGATCATCATCAAACATCCAAGATGATTAACGAACCAATCAATTATCATCAAACATCTAAGATAATCATGTTAATATTGATCATACAAGTTATTTATTATCTAAGCCAATTAACAAAGGTCATAAATGAGGTCACAAACAATTTAGTCTTGATCTTAGGTTATCGCTTAGATAATTTAGTATTAGACAACCTTTTAAAGATTATTATAATCTGGATACTGAAAAGGATAACCATATAGAATTATATTCAGCCAATAGTAATGATCAAATTCGTTCTCATGGGATTCCTAATCAAGTATGACATAGTAAACGTCATTATGATAATGATGATCAAGATGATAATATTTCTCATCAGGTATTACATATGAACTAAAGTCATCATCTCTTATCGGCTCTACCCCTATAACAATACTAATATCATCAACTGAATCTTCACCTGTATCTAATAGAATGGTAAATTTATTTATAATATGTTATATGATTAAAATTATCTAATCGTTTAATTTTAAGTCATTAATGAACATATTTCTGATATGTGTGAAGAGATGAAAGTCATATTTATATGAAGTCGAAATCCTGGTTTAGCTGCAGTTGCAGCTGTTATAAAGATTCTATTATCCGATCAGAAAAAAAATAATGAAAATATTAAATTTTTAAAAGAATGCAAATTGAAATACTTAGCATAACACTGTTCACGATTCAATAATGATCTTAACTTTTACGTGAAAAAATATGTAAAATTTAATAAATAAGTTATTTTTATAAAATATTATTATAAAAACGTAATTATCACTTAATACAGTCAGGGGTATTTCCAAATTTGGAATCGATTCCAGAATATTCTGCTGATCATGCCGATCATTTTAAATAG